ACCTACAACATAATGAAGAACTCATGAAAATCAATAAAAATATGTAAATAGAGTTTGTATTAGGCCTTTAAAAACAAGATATGTGTGATGTCATTCTCTAGCAGTACTGTTTTGCTCAGCATGAAGTCTTTCAGAGAAGTGTTTTCAAAGCCCTATTTTTTTTTTAATGTATTCTTTCTGTTTCATGAAAAAGGGCAGAAAAAAGCCAAAAATGTGGAAAATTCAAGATTAAATGTTTTTGTATAACCACCCTATACGCTCACTAGTTAGTTGGCAATTTAATATTAACAATGTATTTAAAATGCAGGATTGTTATTATGGGTCATTTTTAGACTACTTCCACATAGTTTGAGGCATGTTTAACAGCTAATCTCAAATTTTTCAATGCACCGCAGTGTGCTACATCAAGTACACCATGCACAGAATTCTAGTATCATTAATTCTATTTTATGTTGTATTATTATTTTTTTAGAATAATACAAAGATACTCTATAAATACTAAACAAGAAACATATGGCAAAGTTGCATACTAGATTTTTGCTTTGAGGCAAGTAATATTCAAGACTCAGCATCTCTTTGAGATTGTTGAGAGGGAGTAAAAATCCTCTCTTGTCTGTCCCTAACTTTCTGGAAACATACAGTAGGTATCTGTAATGATAGGAGGCTGTAGATACAGTTGTCTTTATCCAGTTTCAGATCATTCCAACAAAGGCAGCAGTCACAATTCAGTAATAAAGAAGGAAAAACTCACCCCTTTCAGAGGATCAGGACTCACTAAAAAATTCCCAAAGGAAAAAATCTCCAAGTAGCAGCAACTCACCTCCAGCTACCAGCCCTTAAATGAGGTTAGGTAGGAGTGAACCCAGGTCTACCCCTTCAGTCATGCAGGTGAATTGCTTGTACCTGTGCTCCCAGGGCTGGCCACACCTCTTCACCAGGTGCTCAGTCAAAACTGGTTCAGGCCATGACCTAACAGTTTGCATACAATGTCATATAAAGTAACATATATGAAGATGTTAATGAGGAATGGAACAATGATTTTAACATACATTCTGTAAGAGGTTACACCAAAATGATGAAGATACAAATATAGTCCTAAGGTAGCTCTTTAATAGCTAGCAGGTCTTGTGAAAGAGGTATGTCTATTTCCAGAAAAGTAACAACGTTCAATAGATTTTACTTTCTTAGGAAGGCAATAGCCTGTAACTAAACTAAGTAACGCTATCTGCTAAGATAATTATTTCCTGATTAAACACTTTAAACACTTTTTAAACACTTCTATCAAAAACTGACAAAAAGAGAGATAATGACTAATGGGTTTAGATGTGCAGAAAGGAAGATTTTGGTTAGACAGTGAAAAAAAGTTTTCAAATCATAAGAAGTTGGAGATATATTGTATTTTTTTTACTGCAAGGAATCAGTTAGGTGGGCATTCTTCAGCACATATATATATATACACATATATACAACACATATATACTCTATCTATTTGTGGATTCTTCCAGCCATATCATAAAATTTCACATTAATTTTAAAGGGACAGTGAACACTGAAAATAACAAATTATAACAAATAATCTGCACAGAATTATCTTCCCTACATTTTCCCTACTTCTTCTGTTTCAGGTATGTACATATATATATATTGTATACAAAAACTAATAATTGTTTTAATGCCATATACCCAAGAGGGAAAAACGTACATCACACTCCAGAAGATTTTGATCTGCTTGGAACTCTGTTTTATGGTGACTTCACTGGGAGTCAAGTGGAAAAGCAAGACATTGGATCAAGTGACACTGAGTCCAGAGGGACTGAAAACTGGCCTTGGATGTGTAATCAAAGCAATAGGGGCCAGTGTACACTTCATACAGCAGTCACAATTGCCCAAAATATGATACTGGTGTGGTTAGTGTAGTTTCTATGCACACCATCCCAAAATGATAAGGAAGGGCCAGAAAAGTCATAAAAAAAAGATTATTTTATTATAGTGATTGGAAACTATGGCTTTTAAAGCTGGTGTATGAGTCTAAGTTGTTTATCAAGGGTAAAATATATCAGTGGACAAATATTAAACAAAATAAAAATGCTGGAATTAAAACGTACAAGATGCAGACCGGAAGCAGGATTCACATTTTTAACAATGAGATTAATCAAAGCGTGGAACAAACTAGTGAGGGTTTGAGGCTCAGAATTTTAAAATGTTTGCCTGAGAAGAAGAGGGAGTCGTTACAGCTTTTATATGTGATAGACTAGACAAACAGAAGACTCCTTTATGCCTTTATAGAATGTAACATCCTTTTCAATGGTAAAAGTATCCCAGGTAGAAAAAAGATTAGTACAAGAGTTCTCAGTTTATTAACTGAGAAGGAGGATGAAGTACCTATAAACTGTAATTAGGAATCTTCAGCAGATCTCTGATTTTCTAACCAAGGCATTAACTGCACATTTTCTGCATTGCAAACAAACATAGAAGGAAAGTCTGCCAGTTAGTATGTCTTTGCAAGAACTAAAAGTATACATTAGTACACATATGCATTATACATTACTGATGAACCACAAAAGACACATCATTTGCTCAAATTGTGTTGGACCTGTAAAGTGGAGACTCTGTCCTGTTTGTTTAACAGCACATATATTTGTCTCTCAGGAACGGAAACTGGAATCATAGTAGGATCTAGCCCCAACTGGATTTTACTGCAATGACATACAGAAATGACAAAGGTATTTATGAAACTGGAAATTACAACCCACAGGAGTCAGAGGAATTAAAAACCCTGGTGAGATGTAACATTTCTTAAGAACAATAGATTGCAACATTTTTATTCTGCACTACTTTGGAAAATTGGTTTAATAGCTCATATTTTTCATCATTCATGCGTACAATAATATGCATGTTTGTTTCCATATTAAGTCTCTAAATTCAGCAGATGAAAATGTCTTTCCTCCAGAAAATACCCTTGATTATAGATCACTACCAAAGAAAAGTAAACATGCAGTTCCGATGAATAAATGTGCTGAAAGCTAATACCTTTTGAACTCTGAATCTTTATTTCTACTCTTTATGGAAATAAACACATTTATGTTGTTTTTGGTTTTTTTTTACTGCATGCAGAAAGAAAGCTTTTTTTCCTCCCCTCAACTCTTTTCACTACTCCAGCTACTGAGTGAAGCCTAATCATAAGATGCCTCTGTGTATCAAGCAGATGTTCAGTTGCAAAAGAAAATCAATGTCTGCAATACAGTTATGCAGTGTTTTTAGAATGCATTGAGCACAGTTGCTTGAAAAGCAATGTTTTGTGTCACTTTATCTGCATTTCATAAAAAAGAACATGTGCCCACTTCAATTTATGGATCACCTCAATTGTCATTCCATAGCAATGTGTTTTACAGATGTCTGCAAATGAATCTTAGGCTGAACTACCTTGGCTTCTGAACCATAAGGAAGTATGATATGCTATCTGTCTGGTATTTAGATATTAAATTTTGTTTGAAGAGCAGTTAGAATCCCCTTGAATTCATTTAAAAACTACTGCATAAAACAAAACTTTTGGCAGTTGAGGTCTGACCAGTGGGTCTGACAGGTTTTCAACACATTACTTTTGGCTAGTGGTGATGTAGTAACAGCACTTTTTTCCAGTGAAGCAAACAACTCAAATCCATCAGCTCCCCCATAACACTTCAGGGCATTTTAACACTCCCAGGATCATGGTCTTTATCTGTTATTATTGAGAAGGACAGTAATGAAACAGGAGCAACTCAGGGAGCCATCCTTTCAGACTATGTCTGACACAAGCACTGTTACATTATCTGCTTCAGTGAAGCAGAAAGAGGAGCCCATCAGGGAGCTGGCTGAGCTTTGTACTTTTCTGTCCTTCTTAAGATTGGACAAGCTAGTCTGACCTGTGGGTACCTTAAACAGCTGGCAAGAGTTCCCAAAGAACAGACTGTTAGTGAAGTAAGCTACTGAACAGCCCGAAATCTCCAGTTTTCTCTTAGCTATGGCATGTCTGCACTGCCTGTGATGGGAAGGTCACTGGTGGGAGGCATTTACACACTGACACCTAGTAAAGCACTTGTCCCCATAGGCTTATCCTCAGGATGGGGAAACGGCTTATACAGTACCTCTCTGCTCACCATTCCAAATGGTATCAAAGGTGACTTACAGATACACATACAGATTTCACTCTCGTTCTGGAGAAAATTTAAAAATAAAGAAAAAAAGTCTTCTTTGTGCTACCGTTTTAAACCACAGCCATTATCTCCATTTTATCTTGTACATTACAGTACACAGAATGCCTTCTCAGCCACAAAAAACAAAAACAAAACAAAGAAATTTAAAAAAGAAGACCAAAAAAAAAAAAAAAAAAAAAAAAAAAAAAGCAAAGCACCAACAAGAAAAAACAAAACCTGGGGGAGAGATTAGCAAACAAGTGGAAAAGCAATATCTGGAGATAAAAAACTGTGAAATTATGCGTTCACAGATACATGGTAAATTCATATTTTAAAGACTGTATTGATGAGGCATCTGACCTATACTCACACATAGGATCTTCAACTGAAATGATGTAATTGAAATTGCCAATTACAGTTTTAGTTGGAGATTTTGTATGCAAGTAGACAACGAGGTGTGGGTACTCGGGCTATGAATATTCTCTCCTTCCTATCACAAAAATAGTATAGAAAAATAAATTTCAGACTTCTATTGGCAACTGAAAATAGAAAAGCCACATTCAAAGTATCTATTAATTGCTGGACTAATACCCTGTTAAGCACTGTTGTTCCCTACTGCAAGCACAAGACAATCAGAATAAATTAAGCAATTTTTTTCACAAAATCAGTAACAGTGCTTCACAGAGCTGTGGATTAAAAACATTATTTAGCTCTCTTCTCTCTCTGTTAAAGAGAACAGAGAAAATGAAGATTATTATCATATAGTAGTTTATCTAGCTATTCTCTATAGCCCTTATTTTACTGCTCTTTTTTCATTTATACCATCAGAAGACCTTGGAAAATTTAGCTCTTCTGCTGCTTGGCAAATAGGTAAGTGTTTCCCTTTTCCACGGCTGTCCTTATCCTCATAAGTGTGGATTGTGTACCAATTAAGTACAGTGTTGGACAGGACAAAACTAAAGAAAAACATTATATAGCTCAGTCTAAATTAATGTCTTTCACTTACATGGAAATATAGAGAAGTGAAAACCAAACATGAAAAGGAAAAAATTACAATAGCATAGCATAGGATAGCATCTAAACTCATCATAAATTCATTCAGAATTATTAATGTTAAAACAGTGAGGTGTAACTGGATAGTGTGAAAAAGGCTACCACAGAATTAAGTACTTCTCTTTCTTTTCTCATATTCCTTTTCTATCTTGGCTGTCCATCCAAATTTAAGTACTTCAATATGTTTGCTTTGTACCTGGCACATTTTGGGAACACTGTAGGTTTAAATGAAATAATATATATAACATATATACACATAACATGTATAGGACACCCTTATTTTCTCTTTGATTAAACATTTCTGTGACCCCATCACTACCTTAAAGTTGCCCTATGATGGGCTCAGAAGGTTCTTGTTCAGTATAAAAGTGAAGATGTGGAAGGGGAGTGCTTCAGTGAAAGGCTTGCACATAACATATAACATTTTGCCATAACATACAGAAAATCTCTGCCAGGACATATGCTATACTGATGATAATGGTGGGGGCTATGCAATCAAGGAATCTCTTCACCTCGTCCCACCACTTACTGAATACAGTTTCCCACTCTGGCTGATTAATGGTCTGCTGGCTCTACAAGGCAGCCTTGTTCTTCACAGTTGTTACACTCCAGTGGTTGAAAGATTTTTTCAGATGTGCCCGAATTAAACATTATAAATGCTCCATTTCATTTTGCTTCAGTAGTCTATTCTAGTGCTGTATTACCCATAATGTATATTGCAGTTAAAATTATTTAGTCAGGATTCTTTTTCTGCCCTTCTCTATCAACATCCTCAATTTCTCCTTTCACTGATGACCTATGCAGTACAGTATAACGAAATTAATCCAGATAACTAACTCCTTTAGCTTTTCAGTGTAATATTTTTCATCCTTTTTTTCACTTACGTCATTGTTCAGTCTTCTATTCCACTTAAAAACAAAACAAAACAAAAACAACAACAAAAAACTTCCAACTATTGTCTCTGTTTCACTTGTTTGTTTTCTGTTCTTGTTTCTTTTTAACAGTTGTGCATGGGCATTCTTTTTTACTATCTTGCCATTCGGGACTTGAAAAATGTTAAGGAAATCCACTTTCTTCACTGATTTTCCCCACTCCCAGCTGAATTACCTGGCTAAAGCAAAAAGCTCGGAGATGCACACAACTTTCTCTAGTGCTAATAATTTGCATCACTTAGTGACTCAGTGACCAAAAAAAAGAAGTAAAAATTCTACTGATAGCAGCGATAACACTGAACTGTTTGAATTGTTACTTGGTAGTTAACTTATTACACTGTAGGATATCTTGTGTAAATTTGTCCAGAAAAGAATTAAATACAATAATTGATGAAGTTTAAGTAGAGGGAGGTCTTTAATATTAAAAATACCTCTCATAAGGTCACAATTTGCAGCTTCTGTACATGATCTGCTTCCAGCAATCAATTTGAAGTCACAAGAGTTCCACGTGGTGTGGAGTGGCATTCCTTGCCACAGAAAAACATATTTGAATATAAAGAAATAAATAATGCAAAGTGCACCTATAGTGTATGGAACTGATGATGATCCAAAAGATGTTCTTGAAGCCAAAGTTTTCTAAAAACTTACAACTAACTTCTTTAGGTCACATAATGATCTCAGAGAAAATCTTAAAAGAAAGCATAAATTCTTCATTTGTGAATATGGCACATGGGACAGCAATTAGTGAACAAAGTCACTATTATCCTCTGCAATCATTTCCAAACAAATGAAGAAAAAAGGCTGCAAAGCCATATGGTACATATATTATAAAGGAACCTGTTCCACTCCTTAGACACAGTATTACTGCTTTTGACACAGCTACAGGAAATAAAACGCTACTGGAATGCAGACTGGGAAAATGTATTCCCAGAAGGCTTTGCAAAACTAGAGGCTGGAATCCTTGAGTGGAAACAGACTTTGCAAATCTGTCTCCTGCTCTGCAGCATAGAAGATCTGCTCAAATGTAAAATGCATACTACAAATGTGGTCACATGAAGTAGCTGTGCTTTCGAAGGCTTATGGAAAGAATGGAGAAGAAAGGAAAAAAGACTTAAAAACAAAGGGGGAAGTGTTGTCATGGGAGGCTGGAATGCAGCCTAGCAAAGAACTGTTTTCAGCAGAGAAAGTCAAACTTTCACACTTATTCTGCAAAATTTGATTGTTTTTAACTTATCAATCTTCTTATATCAATAACCTGAATTAAGTATATTCTTATTCATAATACTGCTTTTTCTCTTTTTTGTCAATGGTGTTTTGTAATTTCTGCCATTCAGCCTAAGCATTGGACACTACGATCACTTGGATTCTTGAATAAATGTGCCTAGTGACAGAGAGAGTGTCATTTTTCCTGTTCTACAGGACTTGGTCACATAAAAGTAAGACTTGTATGATGTATCTACCAGCTACAGCTGAATATGAATACTATCAATAAGAAGATTCTGCAAATAACTGGTCAGACCTTTTGGTCAAACTCATGCCATATGCATGAGAGAAAAGAGTAAAGTGCAATATGTTTAAATTTTCTTGGATATGTAAGCACTCAAATATATACGGAAAGAGTATTTTTCAGCAAACATTCCGTATGTTTATTTTTATTGTGTGTTTTAACATTTCACATTTTTTACTGCCTCAGCCATCTTTAATTAGATGAGCATTTTAAAGTAATATTAAGTACACTCAGAAAGCAAAAACAAAAAACCCACAACTATGTGTGATAAAGCCTTTGAATATCATTCATTTATATATCCATTTCTTTTTTTTTTGGCCAAGCAAGTAATGAAAAATATATTGCTGACACTTGATACACAAAACACCTTACAGAGAGTTATTTTTTAATTTTTTTAGAATTCTATCATGCAGGATTGCCTTTCCTAGATCGACCTCCACACAAAAGAAATTCAAACGACAGATAAAAGAATTATTTTCTCAAAGATGTATTCTGAAAATCTTTTAAAATGACCTAACAACTGTGCACTTCAAACTTGTTTTGTTGGTTTTAAGGAACAGAACTTGGAACAGCTTCTTAAAGGAATTTAGCCTCAAGCATTGCATTACACTTTCTAAAAATATATGATATACAAAACAAGTAAAAATCCTGTTATAACATTAAATTATATGTTCTATACATGCTAAGATCCTTAAATTAATAACTTACTGAATAAAATAGTTTTAATAATAATTATTTATCAAAAATGTTTCTGCTTCAAGTTACCTAACACAAGACACTTTTGCTCTGAAATGAAAATAATTAATAATCTACAAAGAAAGTGTACATATTATAAGTGAAATGTAGCTTGAGTAAAATAAGTGATTTTGATTTTAGTGTTGATAAGTGATATTTGATCTGCAAGTGACTTGAATTTCACTGCCTTCTCTGGGAGTGAATGCACTGTACCTAATACAAATGGATTAAATTCTGTATGTTCTAGAGAAATTAGGAAGAATGCTTACATGTTTTGTCATAAACATAGCCTGTAAATACTTAAGTCTTCTTCAACAGGCTGTCAGCATGATATTTCATTATTTGGTTATTTGTCATTCATCTATGTTGATAATACATCAGAGTTTGTAAAAAATTAATTTCATGCCCAAAATTAAGGTTCTTTTTAAGATCTCATATCAAGGCATATAGGCTAGTAAAAATGGAGATAATTTACTGACATATAAACGTGTATTTCCTTGTATTGCTTAAAACTACCAGTGTTCCACTGAACAGTTATATGTGGCTGCATTATGCTTACAAGAACCAAACCTAACAGAGGAATTACATATATAAGGGTGGCTGTAGAATATTCTATAAACAGCTGAAGAGAACAACAGTCACTAGCCTGTCCCAACCAATCTTGATCACTCTCTGCTAGAAGTTTCAGCTCATCAGGGTCAGGTTACCAAAGGCCTAAATTTCCCAGACCAGATCTTATGTGTGTCTGGAAATTCTGCCTCCGTACAGTCTATGGACCTAACGCTAATTAGTATTTGTGACACAGGGAAAAATGGACAGATGTTAAAATTTGCTGTATGTATTTTCCACCTCATTGAACTGGCTCAGCAAGCTGAATAAAACTGGTTTGATGTGATTACTATACACAAAGAGCTAACCTCTCCTCTTGAAATGTAAGATTAAATAGTGAAACACTGACAAAAATAACACATTTCCAAGGTATTGTATCAAAGATGTGGTCGCATCCAGTTTTGCTGACACAGAAATGTATGAAAGGAATCACACTGCAAGCCTGAACCAGGCTGGTTACACAGTAAGCCGCCATCTGGAAGGCTGCTGATCTCAGCTAGTGGTGAGCAAGAAGTGGAAGGTTATAAGCTCCTCTCTGAGATCACTTGTGCCTGGAACAGGCTGTATGATCACAGACTGTCTCTCCTCTCACTGTTATCCCCCAGCATACCTTTAGTTGTCCTAAGGGCAGGTGATCCAAAGGCAGGCCAGTTTCCCTGTTTATAATGGTGGTTTAATAAAGGAGATCAAGAAGATGACAATTGAGCTATGCCACTGGTGTTTCTCTTTAGTCCATAATTTCATTTTTTAGAAGTCTATATTCACTGTCTGTGCTCCCAAGATGTCTGTGGTATCGCAAAAACATACAGCTGTTTAGAAAATTAAAGCAAAGATCTCAAAGATCCTACAGCTGAGTTTGCATGGTCCAGACAAGAAAAGGAAAGCACAGTTACTAGACGGTAAAGAGTAACAACATGAGCTTTCCTTGGATAGGCTGTGAAAGATAATTGAGTTTAAAAAGAAAAGGAGAACTGTATACAGGAAAAAATATTATTTTCTTCCCTGTATTTCCTTTTGTTCCCTACAAACAGTGG